CGCACGGCGCAGGAAAGTCAGCAAAAAAAATACACTAAAATAATACAATAAAATATGCTGAAAGCGAAGGYAGGAGGCAGCTTTTATTTATGAGAAATCGCATAGTTTCTTTTGTTTACGTATTTACAATTTTTGCCTTAACTGCTGCTTTTGTTGCAGCTGCCAACGCTTAAGAAGCRAACGATGCGCTTTGATTGAAATGTTGCACTGTTTTTGTGTTTTTTATAATTTCACTTTTTCTTTACTTCTAGCTTGTTAACAGCAGGCTTGCAACTAGTAGCAGCAGCAGGCGTTTAACTTATTTGTACAGTGTTTAGAAGTCAGCTGATTTTAAAGTGTGGTTTTGCTGATAAAAATTGCTTTCTAAAGACAAATTAAATAGCCTTTTCTTATCGGTTTTGGAATTTAAAAAATAATTAATTTTAATAAAAAAATTATCGGTTTCCGAATTTAAAAAACAATGAATTTAAAATAAAAAAATACGAATATTTTTTACTAAAATTAAACTAATTAGGTTTTTCTTAGAAATTATTATCAATTTACTTTTTTATTGAAAATTAAAAAATTAAAAGACAAATGAAATTTCAAGCACAGCTACTTTATGATTCATCTTCCGGATGAATATTCCTTACTAATATTGAAATAAAGATTTTTCTCASAAAATTCTTATCGGTTTACTTTTAAATTGGAAATAAATTAGTAATTAATAAATTTGCATCTTCGCTGCTAAGATGCTGATAAAGGAATTGTATGAGAAATTATTTAATCAACGAAATGGTTCCACTTTTAGGTTCTTTGAAAAAAAAAAATTTATAGAGGGATAGCTATTACTGCTGGCCGTTTAAAATTGGGGAATCCGGAACTCAAGGTTATAAGTTAACGGTATTTTTGACCAACTRGCGGTTTTATAATAAAAATACTGCTTTYAGGAACGACTTAGGCTAAGAAACTCTGARGATCAGTTCACTAAAACATGTGAAGCTTTAGAAAAAAAGTATGTACTACATTTTCAGTTGTACTAAATACAAGTGTTATTGATTATCTTTAGCCGTTCACTTCACTTATGATAGGTAGATAGATAGAAAATATTTGAGGCTTTGTACTGCGACCTATGGTCTATTGTGCGCTCTCCTATATCACATATGCTGTCTCTTATACACATCTAGATGTGTATAAGAGACAGACTAAATACAAGTGTTATTGATTATCTTTAGCCGTTCACTTCACTTATGATAGGTAGATAGATAGAAAATATTTGAGGCTTTGTACTGCGACCTATGGTCTATTGTGCGCTCTCCTATATCACATATGGTCACAAAAATACAGCACTCTGCAAAATTCCTGGAGCTTGCTGGGCTCRACTGAGGTGATGTGATCCCTGTTCAAGGGCCTTCAGACCTGTCTCTATAAATAGCTGGACAATCTAGAAATAGGTTCTCTTAGGACATAGTAGACATTAAGAATTATTCCAAAAATGGAATTTCAAGCGTAAGTCGCTATTTATAATAATGTAAATGTTCACAATTTTTCCAAATATACTTTCTAATTACCAAGAGTGTTCTTCTTTCTTATAAAGAAATTTACCAAGAAGTTCCAATTCTTCAGTTCTCACCATACAATTGAGAATCATACAAAATACCCGCATATTTTTTATATTGAAATACACTAAAACCAACAAAAAAATTTATTACCGATCGTTTGTCTGCGCAGTTTATATGTGTATATCTGTGGGTATAAATTTGAACTTGGCTGCATATTCGGCATTCCTTCCAAAACCAACGATAATCATTAAAAATTAAYGATAGCAGTACTATTCACCACAATACGTTTATCTAGAAAGGAAATAGATAATTTACTTACCTTATCGATTTGATCGAGTGCAACGTGCGCATCCACCCAACTGGTGCGTACATATAAATCTGAAAATAATTTCTCATCGACGACATCGCCATGTGTGTCCGGCACTCGCGGCAGCCCATCCATGATGGGCGCAACCATTTTTAGGCGATTTTTTTTTATACGAATACTTCACCACAGTCGCCTGTGCGCAATGTTGATTAGCGATTTATTGAATAWTTTTATTTTTGCGTTTGCTTTTGGTTTGCAACTTCACATATACAAGTGCCAAACATAAAATTTGCTGTATATGCACCCTTATGAGCCCTATGCTGCAGTTGACGCGCTGCTGTGCGCGTTGCAAATGAAAATCGAAAAGGTTAGTCGGTGGAAATGTGACGTTTAATAAAACTTGTGGGCGCAGCAGGCAAACAGTTGATTTGAATTGTATTTATTTCTTGTTATAAAATATATGTTTGTACAAATATATATTTGTTTCATTGATACACTGTGCATAGTAATTTATGCAAATTAAATTTTTGTTTGCATTCTGCTTTGCCTAGCGCTGCTCAGTAGCCACGCTTTACGCACGTTTTAGTAATATATTATATGTTTGGATTTTCCGCACTCGATACGCGTTTGTTTTCATTCATTAATTTCTGTTTTCATGCAAATATACACATGTATATATGCAAACTATACATAGAAGTATACGCGTGTAAAAACAAAAAACTCAATTACTCGCTCAACTAGCATCTTCAGCAGTTGTTTTTCGCAGTCATTCATTTATTTACATATTCACTATGCTTTAAACGCGCTTTTCGCTACTTTTGTTACGTTTTTGTTTCGATTCGCATTTAATTTCGTTTCTTACACTTCTTATATATATAAATTTGTATTTATTTATTTATTTTTTGCCTCTTTCACATACACTTCGCTCACGTCAAGTGAATAGCGTCGTTGTCGCACACGAAAATTCCAATGAATGTCGTTTATAGCTCGCAGCAGTTGTGTTGTTGATCCTCGTACGGATTTCAAGGAACTCTATGTTTTGTTTTCGTACTTTTTTACACTTTTATAACATGTACGTACACGTTAGTAAATCACTGTTGTGTTATGTACGATTCAAAAATAAAGTGCACATTGACGCAAAGACCACCAACGAATTTCTTWACTTCGACTTGCTGCTAGCTAAAGCAATTTGGTAGAAGTTGTGGAAAAAAAATTCAATATACACTTTTCACCACGCGACGTAATATTGCCAACGTGCTGCCACAACGAGGATCGAATGAAATCTGAGCGTATTGGCTGAGTGCCCTGCACTCTAATGCCAGAAATTCTGCTGCTGCCGCTGCTTGTGCTACTGGCAGTGGTAGATAGAGTTGTTGCTATTAATGTTGATGTGCTGCTGCTGCTGCTGCTGTCTACCGCCTGTCGCTCAGCGCCAGACCTACCGATGGCAGCGCAGATAAAGCAGAAATAACTTCATTAATTYATACAAAAAGTCAGGCACTCATCTCGCACAATATGTACAAACGCTGCTAGCGTTGCGCTCACGTAYACAAACACTTGCCAAMGCACTCTCGTTATAACAAGSAAAAGAGCGTTAACACTCGCTCTCCAGCTGTTTGTTGGCATGTATGTGTTTCCTGTSAAATGCGGCCATTTTGATTTCGGCGCTCACCGTTACTCAACTGAGCAGCATAGGCGCTCACTGCCATACTCATTGCAAGTGTTTTTCTTGTAGGTRTGTGTGTGCATGTGCGACTGCGCTCCCGATTTCCGTTGGCGCTTTATCCGGYAATGTGCTGAGCACGCCACTGAGTCGTTGTTTTGTATACTTGGTAGTGTGTGTGTTTCAGTTAATGTTTCTCAGAAGCCAGTGCGCACTCTCTAGTCTCTTATTRGACGGCGTTTCTCTTGAATCTCGTTGTGCGCATAAACAATGCAGTTTTCGGAAATAGCACCATAGTGCAGTTTGTTAAAAATCATGTGGGGCAAAACATTAATTAAAGGTGAGCAAACTTTTTTCCTCAATGTCCGTAAGACTCACATTGATTGTCTTTACGAAAAATAATTTATGAAATTTTAYTTGTAAAATTCTTATGTACTCTTATAAACACTGTTTGGCGCAAAAGCAGCGTTTTCAAGTTGTTGCTGTTGCCAAAGACGATTCTAGGCTTTTCAGGTGTACGTCCGAGCGCGCGCGAAAAGCGAGAGCTGAGCATTAAAAGTTATGCTCTTTGTAGTTACAATTGAATTTTTTTGTTCAGAGTCATATCATTGGTATGTCTCAGTCGCGTTTCCCAAAAGAAAATAAAGTTATTAAGACGCGCTTAACAATTCAATTAGGAGTACAGTGGTATAATTCCGTGAAAAAATATTAAAAATTATTTGAAAAAAGATATTTTAAAATAAAAAAATTTATAGTTAATATATGATATGATTTATTAATCCAATAAAATTTCAAAAGAGGGTACTCCTTAAAAGAAAATTATTTTAAATGAAAGCWCTTAAAAATTCAATTAAGAGTACAGTGGTAAAATTCGATGGTTTCGAGTAAAATAAATTAAAAGTATTAAAAAAAATTTAAATAATAGATTAAAAAATTTAAAACAATAAAAAAAAATTTTAAATAAAAAATAATAACAAACTTAAAACAAATTTATTTTTATATCTAATTAATATTCTCAATAAAATACAAAGCAAAATATGCATTTAAAAKATTTTTTCTTCTTCTTTTAGTTTACAAGCGTGCCAGTCGTTCATTCTCTTCGCTGTATGGCGCCAATTGGAGATTACAAGCGAAACCAGGTCCTTATCCACCTCGTCATTCCAACGGAGTGGAGGTCTTTCTCTTCCTCTGCTTCCCCCTGCGGGTACTGCGTCGAATACTCTCAGAGCTGGARTGTTTTAGTATTCGGACAACATGCCCTAGCCAACGTAGCCGCTGTCTTTTAATTCGCTGAACTATGCMAATATCRTCATATACCTCATACAGCTCATCGTTCCATCAAATYCGACATTCGCCATGGCCAACGCGCAAAGGACCATAAATCTTTCGCAGAAGAGAGAGAACTTTACTTCTGATTTGGAGGATGAAGTCATGTRTAGAAGTTCACGCAAKTGMGGAAAGTTCTCTGATCGCCATTCACTTGGGAGTGGCCACGATTCTTTTACCTATCGCTCATGCAGCACACGAATTCCGGTCTTTGACCAAGTATCATGTAAGCATCTCGGGTTCCCACGGCAAGATACCCTGGAGGAAGTATCGATAGTGAGGCCACCGAGTCTATTAAAATTTGCGTATCGCAAAGGAACGAAACTGGTCTACCAGTGTAACCTAACATTTCATAAAGATTTTCGGCTTAAAAGAATTAATTTAATGATATTTAAGTTATCATTTTGAATCAACTTTCAACATTTTCCATCAAATTTTAGGTTAGAGTCAAAATTTTGACAAAATATTACACCCTATTATCTTGCTCTAATCAGATAAATTTAACGCTGTTTTTCTTTATACCCAATTACTAACTGAAAAAGCGTGATACGCGGTATAGAAAGAAGAATGTAAAATAATATATTTTAATCCTTTTGTTCTTTCTTTTATGGCACCCAAAAAATCCGTATGTTATTGGTACCCTTTTCAGTTGAAATAGAAATCCCAACGTTCAACCAGTACTTCTTACCTATGCCGTTTTCTCGTATTCTCTCCCTTTTATTACAAATGTATGTACTTATGTTTTTTTGTTTGTGCTTTCCCTTTATCCTGCCTGTGGCACAAACATAGTACTACTGCTATTGATATCGAGCCCTGCCCTCTAAGCCTTTCTACAAAACAATTTATTGTATAATCACAACAGCTTGGCTGCCTTTAAGTAGGGTGCGTCACACACACACACATACACGAACGCTTGTAGATATTCAGTCTGTCAGATCACTTAATTCAAGTGAGCCGCGGAACTGCGCCTAGCTGAAGCGATCAGTCGTCCATGCTATGCTGCCGCCGGTGCCACCGCCATCACCCAACGCCATGCCAGTCAAATCGAAACAACAACAACAAGAACAACAATAATAATGCCGCTTTTGTAGCGCATACAAAAGACGTTAATGTCGTCATTCACAATTCAATATCAGCGCTTTGACGTGTAGATGGACGAATCGCGGACGGACAAACTTGCGGACGGACGGACATGAGGAATGGCGCGGCTTCGCTGTAGGTCGTCTGTTGGAAGTCGCCAACTGGTTGGCGGCTCATTCGCTCACTTGCTTGTTCGCGACTCACAGTTCGCGACCACCCACAATGCTTCCGATTAAGGGAGACACACACGCACACACACACACATGCATATATATGCATACATAAAGACACTCATTGGTGCACAAACAAATCTACATACATATGCACTCGTCTGAGTATGTGGAGATAGTAGCAAGAGCAACAGCGTCGACGACGTTGGGGCTAAGTGCCGAATGCTAAACGAAATCCGCCRCAGCATTGATAAATGGTTATCATAAATTTGCGAACTTGATGCAGGCAAAAYCAACAGTCGGCAGGCAGTCAGCGGTCGAGAGTCGGACAGTGCACAACACTCGCAATGTGGATGGTGGCGGCGGCGGCAGCGGCAGCGGCAGCGTTGACGTTGGCGACGTCGTGTCCCCCTTCGTTGGCGTTGTGTGTGGTGGGTCCAGCGTAGTGGTGCCGCTACTCTGATTGCACGGTACGAGTGGTGGTGCCTCTTATCGTTTGTTATTTATTTACGTGCATGAAAGTAAACAAATTTTTGTCATGTTGTTGTGTTGAAATTTGTAACATAAAAAATGGCATTTTACGATTTTATTTTACGATACAATTTCAGTTAATTCAATATCCGATATGCACATGCTTACAAACCAATACATTGTCATGTCAAATGTCATTTGTTCGAGGAATGTATGAATGTGTGGATATATACATATGTAAATGGGCGCATTAGGGAGTGCATTTATTAGTTTAAGGGTTTATTTCTACTTGCAAGTTATAAAAACGCRTTTTCTATGATTGGCATTTTAAAATAATTTAACATTTTTAATAAATCTTCATTTGAATAATTCTGCATTTCCCTGATCTCTAGGCGGAATTCCGAAAAAAGTCTCTTAGCGATGAGGAAAATTTGTCTGCTTAAAATTAACTCAAATTCAAATAACAAAAAAAAAATATTGACATAGATAAGTACAGATTTTGAAATTTTCAGTATTTTTTTTTCGAAAAATATTTTATGTTAATAAGTATCCAAAAATTCAGTTAAATTTGAAAAAATTTGTTACATCTAGAAGGCCGTGTGAAAATCTCAGTTCGATTGGCGGTTCATAGACATTTTCCGCACTGGCTCTGAGGACAGGGTTTCGAGAAAAACATGTTGAAAGTTGTGCCAGCCAATCATACTAGTTTTTAAAAATACGTCTATACCTCCGAAACCATTTAGCAGATCAACTACAAATTTTCGGAAAATATTCCGAAAAAATAAAAATAAAGTAAAACAAGTAAGGAAGGGCTAAGTTCGGGTGTCACCGAACATTTTATACTCTCGCATCAAATACCGTATTTGTGTAAAGTTTTATTCCGCTATCATCATTGGTTCCTAATGGATATATTATACAGAGAAGGCATCAGATGGAATTCAAAATAGCGAGATATGGTTTTTGGTCCATAAGTGGGCGACGCCATGCCCATTTTCCATTTTTTAAAAAAGCCTGGGTGCAGCTTCCTTCTGATATTCCTTCCGTAAAATTTAGTGTTTCTGATGTTTATTGTTAGTCGGTTAACGCACTTTTAGTGATTTTCAACATAACCTTTGTATGGGAGGTGGGCGTGATTATTATCCGATTTCTTCCATTTTTGAACTGTATATGGAAATGCGCGAAAGAAACGACTCTATACAGTTTGGTTGTCATAGCTATAGTAGTTTGAAAGATATGTACAAAAAACTTAGTAGGGGGCGGGGCCACGCCCACTTTCCCAAAAAAAATTATGTCCAAATATACCCCTCCCTAATGCGATCCTTTGTGCCAAATGTCATTTTAATATCTTTATTTATGGCTTAGTTATGACACTTTATACGTTTTCGGTGTTCGCCATTTTGTGGGCGTGGCAGTGGGCCGATTTTGCCCATCTTCGAACTTAACCTTCTTATGGAGCCAGGAAATACGTGTACCAAGTTTCATCATGATATCTCAATTTTTACTCAAGTTACAGCTTGCACGGACGGACAGACGAACGGACGGACAGACA